CTGTCCTTGGCGCAAGTTTTCTCCCAACAGTTTGGGTCATTAGGCACAAGGTCCTCGTCATCGGGGACCCCGTCACCGTCGCTATCGCGAGGCAGCTGCGTGCAATTCGCATTGCGTGAGGCTGCATCATGTGGGTCAACAAAAATGGTAGGCAACTGGACCACTGAAAACCGCCTCAATTAGTTGGCCACCAAGGCAGTTTAATGAAACGGGGCGAATGGTAGCAGCGTGGGGCCCACAACAGTGTGCTCTAGCATACTATATGGTGCAATCTATGTGGTGCAGTCTATTTTGTGCAAGCTGTGTGAGGGGCTCAATGTTAAGCAATCTATGTGCTGTATGTCATCTGGTGCAAGATAGGTGGTGTAGGTTTTGTGGTGCAGCCTGTGCGGTGTAAGCTGTTTGGTGCAATCTGTGACATGCGATATGTGCGGTGCAATCAATGTGGTGCAACCTGTGCGGTGCACTTCAACAATGCTCGCAATGAGGTGTCAACTCCACCCACCCGCAACTTGGTTTGCAAAACCCATGTGGCGGCGATTGCGGTGAGTGCTTGGCGTTGGCTGGTGCATCTTTGCGGCCGCGCTCGCCGGCGCATGCTCGCGCGCGCAACGGCCAGCTAGTGCGGCGCGACCGACGCGGCCGTGGTGGCGCTGACCGCTGGGCAATGCCCAGCGGGCACTTCAGTGCGAGTCGGTGACTTGGGCGGGCGCCGCGGTATCATGGCGACGCCGACGACGGTAGACACGATGATGAAAGTAGCGATGGTGGTGATGACGGCAAGGCCAATGACGGCGCCGATGTTGATCACGCCCGCCGATAACGATGACGATGTCCTCGCGTCGGCGATGCAAATGTTGGAAGGAGTTCGACACGCGCGCGCGGCCAACGCGCGCGAGTGGCCCGCGTGATATTATTCGACACGGACCGCGTCTCACCAGCCCGCGCGCAAAGGCGCTCCGAATTTGATGACACTGCTGAATAAACTATGGTTGTCTTAAGGATTCGCAAGAGCGCGCGCAGGCGTTTTTTTTTTTTTTTTTTTTTTTTTTTTTTTTTTTTTTTTTTTTTTTTTTTTTTTTTTTTTTTTTTTTTTTTTTTTTTTTTTTTTTTTTTATTTATATATATATATATTTGTTGAAAACGAAATTTGCAAAACAATATGTTTTCGGGGCACTCGATTTTGAAATCCGTGTGACAACGGAGCTTTCTTGATAAATATTTCATCATGCGCGCGCGACGACGCGCGCGTGCGTACATTTGTTTTGAAAACGTTTCTTGCAACAGCACGCGCGTAATGGCGTTCGAATGATTTCGACATGCGCGCGCGAGAGGCACGCGTGGTAGCATCTTATGAACATGTTGGAGAAACTCAATTTTTCTTCCAGAACTCGCAAAAGCGCGGGCGTAAGCTTTCTTGAAAATCCTTACTGCGAAAACATGTACTTGTTGCAATTATTTTCTCGGGGCGCTCGATTTTGAAATCCTTGCGAAACGTCAGGTTTCTCAAATATTTCGGCATGCGCGCGCAACGACGCGCGCGTGTGGACGTCGTCCATTTTTTCTGCAAGTGGTTGTTGAAAACTTAGGACTCTTGATCAACGAATGTGCGCGCATAGCGTGTTTGGCAAAGGACGAGGGGGGGCAATACCGACCTGCCTGGGCAGGTATGAATTTATCTTTTGGATGGAGCGAGAATCGTGTGTACATTGCAATGCGAGAAAAGGGGTCCGTTAATTCCGGGGTGGTGGTGGTAGATCGTAGCGCTCTGTTAGACAGGAGAATCTATGTGATGTAGCATATGTGGTGGCAATTATGTGGTGAAACGCATGGGAAACATTCTATGTTCCGCGATACGCGTGGTGAGATATATGTGATGTGGGCTAGTGTGTGCAATGAAAATGCAATGTGTGTGGTGTACGCTATCTGGTGTAATATATGTGGTCCAATCTGTGTGTTACAATCTACGTGTGTGGTACAATGTATGAACTTCAATACCAGTGCTGTAAGCTATGCGGTGCAATCTATGTGGTGCAATCAATCACTTGCTCAAGTTGAAGCTGTCCTCTCCACTGCTCGCGCAAACATCCCACCCTCCCATCCGCAAGTTGGTTTGCAAAACCTCTTAAGACCGACTACGACGACACCGACGACAACGACGACGACGACACCGACGACGTCTCCGACGACTTCGACGACGACAACGACGCCGACGCCGACGACGACGACGACGCCAGCGAAGGCGACGACGAGGGAGGAGGGAGGACGACGACGGCGACAACGACGACAACGACGACAACGACGAGGGAGGAGGGAGGACGGCGACGACGCGAACGACGACGAAGGAGGAAGGACGGCGACGCCGACGACGACAACGACGAGGGAGGAGGGAAGACGACGACGACAACGACGACGACGACGGGGACGAAATAGAACCGACGACGAGACGCCGACGACGGACGACGACGACGACGTGGGAGGAGGAGGACGGACGACCACGGCGACAACGACGACGGAAACGACCTCGACGCCAAAGAGGACGACGACGACGAACACGAGAAAATACACAGGACGACGTAGGCGACGACGACGACGACGCGGGAGGAGGGAGGACGGCGACGACGACGACGACGACGACGCAAGAGCGCGCGCACGCTTTTGTTGAACATCCGTGTTGCGAAACCTTAGGTTTTGCAGTTTTTTTGGACGCACGATTTTGAAATCCTTCCGAAACCGGTGGGTTTTGAAGGTTTTCGGCATACGCCCGCGACGACGCGCGCGTCTGCACTTCGCCCCATTTTTTGCAGAGGATTCTCGCGACGGCACGCGCGCAAGGGCGTTCGACAGATTTCGACATGCGCGCGCGCGAAGCCCGTTTGGTAGCATTTTGTGTAAATCTTGAAAAACCAATAGTTTTCTTAAGATTTCGCAAGAGCTCGCGCGGAAGCGTTTTTAGCAAATCAGTGTTGCGAAACCCTGTGTTTTTGTATGTTTTTTTGAAAACTCGATTGCGAAATCCTTCTGGCACCGAAGGTTTTGGAAGGATTTCGGCATGCGCGCGCGACGACGCGCGCGTGTGCACTTCGTCTCATTTTTTGCAAGGGATTCGTGACAAAGTGTTATGCTAGAACAAAAAATGTCACCGCATAATGTTTTTTACAAAAGAGCCTCAGGGGGGGGGAACCCGGCCTGCCTGGGATGGTATGATTTCATATTTAGGATGGACGAGTGGTCAGACTCATATATGATTTACATACCCGAAAAGGGAACGGATAAGTCCGGGGGGGGGTAGAGTGTATTCTCCTTTTAGACAGGAGAATCCACTTTGACTGCCTTGAAACTGTCCTCTCCACTGCTCGTGCAAACATCCCACCCTCCCACCTGCATCTTGGTCGCAAGACCTCTTAAGACTTTGATGGTAGGTACCAAATGGCACTTGGCAGCGACACCAACGCCGACGACGACAGCGACAACGACGACGACTACGACGATGCCGACGACGACTATGACGACACCGACGACACCGACGACGTCGACGACGCCGACGACGACGATGACGACGCCGACGACGACGGCGACGACGCCGACGGCGACGACGACGACGACACCGACGACGACGACGACGACGCCGACGCCGACGACGATGACGCCGACGACGACGCCGACGACGACGACGCCGATGACGACGACGACGACGACACCGACGACGACGCCGACGACGACGACGATGACAACGACGACGACGCTGACGACGACGACGACGTCGACGACGACGCCGACGACGACGGAGACGACGACGACGTCGCCAACGAAGACGATGACGACGACGAGGGAGGAGGGAAGACGACGACGGCGACAACGACGACAACGACGAGGGAGGAGGGAGGACGGCGACGACGCGAACGACGAAGGAGGAAGGACGGCGACGCCGACGACGACAACGACGAGGGAGGAGGGAAAACGACGACGACAACGACGACGACGACGAAATAGGAGGGACGACGACGAGACGCCGACGACGGACGACGACGACGACGACGTGGGAGGAGGAGGAAGGAGGACCACGGCGACAACGACGACGGAAACGACCACGACGCCAAAGGGGACGACGACGACGAACACGAGGAAAGACAAAGGACGACGTAGGCGACGACGACGACGACGCGGGAGGAGGGAGGACGGCGACGACGACGACGACGCAAGAGCGCGCGCGCACGCTTTTGTTGAACATCCGTGTTGCGAAACCTCAGGTTTTTGTAGTTTTTTTGGACACAAGATTTTGAAATCCTTCCGAAGCCGATGGGTTTTAAAGGATTTCGGCATACGCGCGCGACGACGCGTGCGTCTGCACTTCGTTTCATTTTTTGCAGGGGATTCTCGCGACGGCACACGCGCAAGGGCGTTCGACAGATTTCGACATGCGCGCGCGCGATTCCCGTCTGGTAGCATTTTGTAAAAATCATGAAAAACCTATGGTTTTCTTAAGATTGCGCAAGAGCTCGCGCGTAAACTTTTTAGCGAATCGATGTTGCGACACCCTGTGTTTTTGTAGGTTTTTTGGAAACTCGATTGCGAAATCCTTCCGGCACCGAAGGTTTTTGGAGGATTTCGGCATGCGCGAGCGACGGCGCGCGCGTGTGCACTTCGTCCCGTTTTTTGCGAAGGGTACGTGAGCAAGTCTTATGTTAAAACAAAAATTGCCCCCGCGTATCGTTTTTTACAAGGGGACCTCAGGGGGGCCGATACCGGCCCCCCAGGGATAGTGTAAATTCATATTTCGGGTGGACATGTAGTCAGAATCATACATAATTTACATGCCCGAAATGGGGACCGATAGGGCCGGGGGTGGGGGTGGAGTCTACGTATGCTCTTTTTAAACCAATGCTCAACTTGAAAGTGTCCACTCCACTGCTCGCGCAAACATCCCACCCACCCACCCGCAACTTGGTTTGCTCTCCCCATGCGGAAGCGATTGCGATGAATGCTTGGTGTTGGCTGGT